GGGGTCCTTCAAGTCTACATAAGTGAGGGAAAAAATTGCTTGATCGCATCTGCCCGGCGAATGCAACGGTCGGTGTTTCAGGGAGCCACTCCCAGCGAATGCGACGGTCGGTGTTTCGGGGAGCCCCGGGCGCTCCCTCGTGTGAGATCCGGAGGCCTCGGTCGCTGTGGCCGTGTGACGGGGATAGCGAGGACGGTGATACAGAAACGGCAGCGACAGCCGTAAGGTCCCCGTGCCAAAGAAATCACAAACGCGTCACGCCCACGGTCGACCTCACTCGCGGCATGTTCTGTTGTGGCCGCCAGCCCCCGATAGACACAGGGGCCACCGGAAACCAGCGAGTTATAGGAAACACGCTCTTTATTCAGCCGGCCGGGTCTGCCAGGGGTACGCTGACCCCAAATCAAGCAGCCCCGAAATGTAGAGGTACAGGGTTTTTAAGCCCTAAACCCCATTCCTCATCCTGTCTGAACACAGAAGTCTATTTTTCTTCTGTTTACTGTCAACCCACAGGTCGGTTGTGCAAGCGGCGGGTACAGAAGCAGAAAGCTTACCGTTAGGGCGTTGTGTTCCCCTGGGCGATAGCCGAGCAGTAACGTTCCAGCCAGCACAGTTCCAGGAAATTTATTTTTGTCGTCATTATCGTTACCTGTCAGTTCGATTCTGTTTCGTAGTCTCCAGCTCCGAAGAGCCTCCCTCCTGTCTGGCGCAGTGTCCCTTTCCGTGAGACGCACTAGGCCCCCGTCCTGAGTGGGGTTGATCGGTCTCTCAGCTGCTGAGTTTTAGGGTCTTTAGAACTGGAGGATGTTAGAGACGAGCCTTAATCAGCTCCCCCATTGGTCTTTGTTTGCTGCCTTTGATTGACACTTGCGATGCCTGGAGACCGTTGTCCTAGTTAAAAAAAAGTGCAGGCAACACAGACAAAGCTGATCAGCCTGTCCCCCTCTCCTCTTCCCCGAGAGAACCGGTGTATCCGTTTGGTCTGGATCCCCTTTCAGACCTTTTTTAATGCGTTTATACATAAATCCACAATTACATACGTGACTGTAGACACAGGCCTGGCCTTAGAAGTTCACCGTCAGGACTCGTGCGTCTCCTCACCCAGCGAATGGTGTCACCCTGATTGCATGAGGTAGCGACGTACCTTTTTACCTACACAGTAAGTCTTAGAGCTGGCCCGTGTCACTCAGCATCTCGATCTTTCTACCAGCCGCCTACAAGCCCAGTCACGGGCCGCTTCACGACGGGCTCGCGTGCTAAGCGATGCGTGCTTAGGAGCTTCTGGCATCGTGTGAACATCACAGAGCGTGTTCGCACAAACTTGGATGGCAGCCCGCCGCACGCCGACTGTGGTGCAGCCTGCTCCACGCCGGTGCAGCGCGTCCCTGTCCTGAACACGTAGGCAGCTACGGTGTCTGCGTAGCTAACTGTACAGAGCCCACGGCAGGAAAAGCGCAGACGCAGAGGTACGCGGCTGCAGGGCTCACCGTGTACGCAGTTCAGGCCGGGAGGTGCCCCGGAGAGCCCGCCAGCGAGTGCGGAGCGGGCGCGAAGGCCTGGGACACGGCCGTGCACTGCCACGGACTTTTATTACATGCCGGACACTCAGGCTGCGCTAAATCGATAAAACAGCACAAGATGCAATGAAGCTGGAGCGCAAAGGATGCGGCCGAGATGCGCTAAGCACGAGCTGTACTTCTTACGAGTGGAAAGGGCACCCTCTAAAATAACCGCGAAAAGCGTGGTCTAGTCAATACGAGAACCGGTGATGTCACACACGAGCGTCATCCAGCCCTACGACGGGGTGACTGCTGCCGCGTCGCGAGGCCTTGGGCGTCTTTCCACGCCCTTGTCATCTCACGGGGCCGCCGTCACGTGTGTGGTCCGTCATCGACTGAACTGTCGTTAGGCATCACAGGTAACACCTGCCCGTGGACCGGCAGGTGGTTTGCGGTGCTCGACCGTCACATGGCACTGTAAGCGCTGACCGTTGTTGGGCCAGCTCACCTGGGCACACCTGGGCAGGTGGCCGGAATGGCTGGGTCACTGTCCGTGCAGGAAGTCCGTGGCCCGAGGTGGTGGTCCCTGCGTCCACTGCCCTCGCGGCGTCTGAGAGCTCTCACTCCCAGGCCTCCAGGTCTCCCCAGCCTGGTGGCCGCCACGGTAGCACATCAGTGGCTTTCGGCCCGGGCAGGGGCAGTTTGCCTGCAGTGAGCGCCACGACCTCAGAGAGCCACCGTTTCTGGCGGGACAGACGTTGACCACCAGTAGTTGAAAGCTTCATCCTTGTCCTTTGTAGACAAGGAAGTGGCCGTTCTCGCCGGTCAGCAGTGTGGGTGAGACCAGAGTCAAAGCAGCCAGTCTCAGGACAGGACTTTTATACTGCGCTTGGAAAACGCAGTTGCCTTCAACCCATCTGTCCCCAGGAAGGCGTGCCGTGGTGGGACAAAGGGTAAATTTGACCCTGTGAGATAACGCGCCCTCTAATGCTAAAACGCTTTTTTCCTTGACTGTTTTTGTTTTTTTTGTTGTTGTTGTTACTGCTGCTGCTGCTGTTTTGCTTGATGGTTTTTTGTTTGTTTGTTTGTTTGTTTGTTTTGTTACTGCTGCTGCTGCTGTTTTGCTTGACGCCACAGCCTCCAGCCAGGAGGCGATTTCTGTTGCTAACTTGCTATTGAATGTGAGGGCCGCTGTCTTTGGCGTGGGGAGCGTCTGAGTCACCCGTTGAGAAGGGTGTAGCTGGAGAGCTGTGTGTCTCAGGGAGGGGACAGGCACATGTGCAGACCTGCTGACTGCTCAGAGCACCGTCCGCCGAGGCAGGCAGGGTCAGAAGGCCGCCCCGCCACTGACAGCCGCTGGAGTACAGGAGGAGACCGTGGCACTTTTTCAAACTGCAGACGTCCAGAAACTCCCTCCGTTGTAAAATTGTCGCCAGCAGGGTTATTTACAACAGGGAGACATCAGTGACAAGCGCAAAGGGTCCGGTCGTGGAGAACCGTGGGCGAGTGGTTAGGTCAGTAATGCTAACCCCTCCCGGCGGGTTATTCTGCCAGCCGCCTCGTAAATACACGAGGTCGTGTTTGTGTGAGAAAGGTTTCACTCGTCCACTGCTCCTCGGAGTATGACTTAGGAGAACCGTTCTGGAGGAAAACTCCGAATGTGTGAATTTTAAACACGATCCCGCAGTTACTCCTCCAAGAAGCACGTCCCCCAGGGATTTTGCACAAGTGCACAAAGTTTACACGCGAGGATGTTCACTTCAGCACTGTTTGTACTAGGAAGTGCTGGCAAGGGCCCAAATGTCCATGGCCTAAGGTTAGAGAAATACCTCCAGGTGCACTTACGCAGGCTGCACATGGCGACTCCCGGCCGTCTGTGCGTGTGACATGGAAGGACGTCCGCGGCCCCGTGTCAGGTCAGGCGCAGACGGAGCGTGTGCGTCATCACATTCGTGTGTGTGCGTGGCACGTGCGGAGGAGAAAGCCGCATGACGGTCACGCCATCTGTCAGCCGTGGTTTGCCGAGGAGTGGGGTCTAGGAAGGGCTTCTGCTTTCTAGTTCAGAGTTCCGTGTTGCTCGCCGTGTCCTGTGATAGGCAGAGCACGCATCCGGGATCAGGAAAGAGCTCCAAAGCCCCAAGTCCCCTTGACCCGCGCTCCTGGAAGGCTGTAAACTGCATTGAGTGTCGTTCCAGCCCTATAAAAACATGCACTACAGGACCTGTAAAGAACTAACCCGCAGCGTTGACGGCAGATCTGAATTTTCTTGGCCTTCTGTATTTTCCAAGTGTTTTTATTCAGCGTGAATTAGCCTCTAAGCTGGAAGAAAAAAGTTATGGGCTTTATTTTTGGACTTTGCAGATTAGAAAGCCCCAGTGAGGGGCCCGCAAGCGGCGGGTACAGTGTGTGTGTGTGTGTGTGTCTGTGTGTGTGTGTGTCTGTGTGTCTGTCTGTCTATCCGTCCGTCCGTCCCAGAGGCTCAGCTCCTCTGCTTTGCCTCCTCTGAACCAGAGTCCCAGCGATGGGGCTCAGGCCGGGGCACGACAGGGTGCTGTCCCCTTTGGGCCCCAGTCCGTGGGAAGCTGGGCCCCTGAGGGCTGGTCGGTGGCTGAGGGTTGCCACTGGGGGTAAGGACGTCTAGAATTGGCTAACCCAAAAGCCCTAGTTCACAGCAGGTTTTGTGAGTTTGGGGGGATGTTTCTGGTCATCACTACCATAGTGGGGGACACTACAGGCGTTGGGTTTCCCTGCATCCCCAGGACCTTGGCACGCCTGGTGGGAGCCTCTTCGTAATGATCTGAGCCCAGAACTTAGCGCTGTGTCAGCGTGAAGACAACCTGCCTTTTGCATGTTTTTGATATCCTCAGCATTTAGAGCATTATGTTACCTCGATTTCATTTAGGGTAGTAAAATGGAGCACGTTTGTAATTTAACATGATGTTTATAAATTCAGTCTTGCACAATCACCAACAATACTATTGCCTCTCGTCGGTACATGTTTGCACACTTGTGTTTGTTCTTCTGTGGGACACACTCCTCGACGTAGAACTGCCGGGCAAAAATAGGGGAATGCATTCTGTTTGCTCCGACGGTACCAGGCTCCTCTCGGCAGAGGTTAATGCCCGTGGGCGTCTGTGAGGGCACCCGTCACCCCCCCATGCTGGCCAGCACACCGTGTCAACAGTGGTGAAGTGTTTTGCAGCCTGCACGCGGGGTTGAGGGGGGGGGCGACATCTTATTTTCATTCTCAACTTTCTGATCACCGTGGTGTGTGTTTACGTATGAATGTCATGTTTCTCCTTGGGTCTCATAGTTAAGCCGGGTCACATCTGCCCCCGGGGCGGCTGTGCCGAGTGAGAGCAAAGGGTCTCTTGGGGACAGTGGTCCTGCAAGGGGAGTGGATAGGAGGTTTCTCTCTCACGGGGCTCTCTGCGGGGATGGAGGGGGCGGGGCTGCTGTCCCAGGAGACCCCGGCCCAACGCTCCCCTGTGCCCTCTGCAGGAAGCCTGGAAGCATGCGATCGAGAAGGCCAAGCACATGCCTGACCCCTGGGCTGAGTTCCACCTGGAGGACGTTGCCACAGAATGTGCCACGCGTCACAGGTCAGCGGCTCGTCTGGGGGTGCCGTAGGGTCCCAGGCCTCCACGAGTCCTTGGGGGTGGGGGTTCCACCTCTCCTCGCAGTCACTGAGCCCCAAGCACCCTTGGGGATCAAGGAGAAGGGAACAATGATAATGCCGATCAGCATCTGAGTGCGCATTGTTAAGGCACCGCGTATCATCTCATTTAACCCTCATCGTGGTCCTGTACGTATTCGGCAGGCTAGGCCGAGCTCTGCAGCAGTGACAGGTACCCCAGGGGCTTAATGCAGCAAAGGTGTGTTTGTCACTCGGATGAAGTAGGGCGAGAGGCGGGCAGCTCTTTGGGGCAGCTCAGGGATCCAGCCTACTTCCGTCATGTGGTGCCATCTGGACACGGGACCCCCACAACTGCTACCAAATGGAAGAGCTGGGGGGTAGCTCGCCAGCTTATCAAAGTCCACGTTTGAGTCTCCCTGGCCCGGCTCTGGTGGTACCCCCATCTCTGGGCCCGTCAGACCCTCGCTCCAGTTGGCCAGGTCTAGGCCACAAGCCAGAGGGTGTGGGGACCAGCTCCACCCAGTCCACCTGTTCTGGGAATGGAGGACAGTGGTTTCCCAAAGGACAGTTGGGGTGCCGTTTGTTTCCTAAGCAAAGTGCCCGCCTTCGCCGGCGCTGGCTGCCGGCGGGGGGCGCTCAGGCATCCCTGGCAGGAGCCTCCGGAGCCTCCTAACCTAGAGGCTTCCCCCTCTGTTGCTGGTGCAGCCAGCCCTTTCTGGGGTCCATTTCCTGTTCACAGGGGGTTACCCAGGCTGGTTCAGAGTAGGTTCTGGTTGAAACCGGCCTGGCTCTGAGTCCTGGCTCCTGGGCGGGTTGCCCCCCGACTCCGAGCCTCCGTCGCCCCATCTGGAAAGCGGGCACAGCACTGTAGCAGCCTCGGGCTGCTGCAGAGGTCGGGTGCAGAGCCCCCAGCACACAGGCCACTCAGAGCGCCAAGCGGCAGGGACCTCGGCCAGGTCGGCGGTCGTAGGAACAGTAAGACGCGGCCCGCGTTGCCCCCTGCCCGCCCTCCCCGTGTGCGCCTCTCAGTTTTCAGTCTCTCTTAAAGGTGAGGAGAGACTTTGCTTTGCCTTGGTCTCTGCATAATAATGATAATCATCATTATGGTTCACCGAGCATAGTACCCGGCCCGGGCTGGTTTAGGGCAATTTGGCAGCTCTGGCGAGCCTTCCTCCTGCCAGGCCAGGGGGCGGCTACCTGCCAGGTCTCTGCTTGTGGAGGTGTCAGACTTCGAGAGGCCTGTTGTCACTGGGGCGGGGACAGTCTGGAGCTAGGGCTACGAATGGCTCAGCCCTGGGGGAGTTTGAGATGGACAGTTCTGGACCCCTCTCCATCCTGCTCCGCCTGGCCATGCATCCAGCAGCCCCTTTCCTGGCTGGACTCGGGGGACCCCGCCCCTCCCCTCACCTGCCCTCAGCTGCCTGGGCCAGGCCCCGCACAGCTGCCTGGCAAGGTCAAGGGCACGGCCGCCCCGTCTGGGGACACGCTGTTCGTTACGTAGACTGGGCGTCAGGGGATTTGCCCATTCGGTCCTTGCCCTGCGGCTGCGCACTCCAGGCCCGCGGTGAACAGGCCGGACGTGGGCCTGCCTGGGTGGGGTTCCCGTCCAGTGGCGGGGCACAGAGTGCGTGCTGGGGGACACGTGGACAGGGCACCGCTGCGTTTGAGGAGGGAAGGAGGCCGGGGTCGGGGGGAGGACGGGAGAGCGCCCACTGGGCAGGCGGCTCGGTCCCGGGGCAGCGGGGAGCCCAGTGAGCGACGGGATCAGGAGGTCGACCCTGCGCCCCGGGGGCGGTTCCCGTCTCTGCAGGTACAACGCGGTCACGGGCGAGTGGCTGGAAGACGAAGTCCTCATCAAGATGGCCTCTCAGGTGAGCGGATCCGAGCCAGGGGCAGGGCCGCGGCTTTTCCCGAGCTCAGCTCGCGCTCCCTCCCCTCCACGCCCCCTCGCTTGGCGGGGAACGCTCTGTCGTGTCGGGTGTTGATTTTCTACTGAGCTGCGACTCACACGCCACGCGACATGCCCGTTTAAAGTGGACGGGTCAGCGGGGTTAATGTCGCCGTGCGGTGTGGAGCCATCGCCACGGTCCAGCCCTTGCCTTGTCGCCCAGCGAAACCCCGTGCATGCCCACGAGCAGTCAGTCCCGCAGCCCTCACCTGTGCCCAGCCCTGGGCCACCACCTGCCGCCTCCCGTCCCCACAGCTGTCCACGTTCTGGACGTTTCGCATATTAATCACATATCGAAAGATTCTCCTTGGCCCTCTTGTCGAGGGCCAGCCGGCTGCAAACACGCGGATCGGTTACCGGGCGTGGCAGGCCACCGCCTGCCACTGCATTGTGACTTGAGTTCAGTGACTTGCCACCGGCCTTTTGGGGACGCTTGGCGAGACGTCCCTCAGTGCGTCGCACACTCAGCAAGGCGTGCAGCTCGCTGGGCTCCGCAGCGTACGCACCGTGCGAGTGTCACCCAGGCCAGACCGTGGGCGCCACCAGCCCCCCGGGAGCCCCTCCGGCCCGGCCGCGCTGTGTCACCCGGGGGAGCTCGCCCAGGTCTGCGTTTCGCGGCGGTGGAGCGTGTGGCGGTGTCTTTCCAGGACGTCTCCTTCGCTCAGTATTTAGGCTCCGAGGGTCACGCCGTTTTTGCTGGAGCTGTAACCGCTCGCTGTGCAGTATGTCACCGAATGAATGAGCCTAGTGACCCACCTGTTACGCCGTGGGTGGACATTTAGGCGGTTCCTGCTTTTCTTCTGTTACAGACAGGGCTGCGAACACCCTCCCCCCGCCCCCACCAATACACACTGTCTCCCCAATAGTACCTTCACCCGGGCGTGGGGCTCTTCCACTCAGTGGGGGTGGGGGACACCCCCACAGCCCCAGGCTGGCAGCTCTCTCAGCTTCGGTGCGGGGAGGGCGGGCCAGGCATGTTAGGGTTGAGGTGAGGTCCAGGGCACCCACTCGGCAGGCGACGTCCAGCGGGTGAATCTCCTCCCGGCTGGGCTTGCTTCGGTTGGGGTGTGGGGACCGCTGACCTTCCGTGTGGTGTCTGTCTTTCAGCCCTTCGGCCGTGGAGCAATGAGGGAGTGCTTCAGGACGTAAGTGACACATGGCTCTTGGGGGCCCTGCCCAGACCCCCTCAGGCTCCCGAGACGGGGATCATTGTGACGTTCCTGGCCAAGACGCAGCCAGTGGCCTCTGCTTCCTGTAGCTCATGGTCCCCTCTGTCTGGCCTCCACTGGCCCTCACGTTGGGCCTGGCTACAGGGATAGGCTTAAGGGAGCTGGGGACAGGGTGTCCTACTCATCCTGGCTCTGGTCCTTAGGGACCAGGGGATGTGCACCAGGTGACACTTTACCAGTGTCCCTTAAGCCCCCTGCCCCGTTCTTTGAAGGATGCTCTCCCGCCTCCCACATCTGTCCCTGAGGACACAGGGCTGGGTCCCTGGTGAGCCGAGTGCCCAGGTGGAGCCCCGCTCCCTCTCCTCCCCACAGGAAGAAGCTCTCGAACTTCCTGCACACGCAGCAGTGGAAGGGGGCCTCCAACTACGTGGCGAAGCGCTACGTCGAGTCGGTGGGCAGAGACGTGTACTTCGAGGACGTGCGTCTGCAGATGGAGGCCAAGCTCTGGGGAGAGGAGTATAATCGGCACAAGCCCCCCAAGCAGGTGTGTGTGGCGCCCTCCCTGCCACCTGCCCCCTCCAGGGCAGCCGGGGGCCGCGTCCGGAGACCAGGGTGCTGGTGCCACGGTCACGGTGTCCCTTCGCTGTCTCAAGCAGTCGCTCATGGCAACCGCCACTTACCGAGTGTAGTGCAAAAAGTCATTTATTCGCCAACGCGGAGGGTTGGGGTTGTTCAAGGTGGGTCGGGATGTTTTCGTCCCATTTTACAGGTGGGGTCTAGTAGTTAGGAGTTTTGTTTGCAAACGACAGAAACCCACTCGAGCAGGTTTAGTGCAGGAAGGGAACATGTTGCCTCGCGGGGCTGAGCCGTCGTGCTGGCCGCGGGCCGCGCTGGGACTCTGCCTCCGCCGCCGGCCCCGGGGTTCTTCCACGTGGCGTCCCTCCCAGCAGCTTCTCGACTTGTAGCGGCAAGTCGGCCACCAGCAGCCTCAGGCTCGCTTTCTGCCTTCTCAGCAAGTGTTTTCCCAGGAGTGACAATAAAAGTCCCAGAACTGGGTGTCACTGGCTGCGCTGAGGCCGGTGCCTGTCACTGAGCCAGTCAGGAAGGCCAGACCAGGCAGGCCCGGGCCCCGTGCCACCGATAGAGCCAGCAGTGTGGTCCTTCCTCCCAGACTGCATGGGCTGCGATCGTGGCTCCCAAGAAAAGCCAGAGGGGAGTGGGGTGGGTACCTTGTCTGCCCCTGGGGAACCCAGGACCCGGAGGGGATAAGGGACCTGCCCCGACGGGCAGGGATGGAGCCAGGGCTCAACTCCAGGCGTTCCAAGCCACTGCCCACTCGACTCCTCCACTCGGGCCCCAAGGGTGCTGGGTGACGGAGGCCAGGCAGAGCTTCCTGTTGCCGCCGGCGTTTGAGGAAACTGAGCTCCCGGCCCTGGCCCTGCCCAGACTCACGGCCCGGCCCTGCCACTGCTGGAGCGCCTGCTGGACGCACGTCTCCTGGGCGCCTTGGGAGGCCACATTCTGGCAACCGGCAGAATTTATCGCACACTTGCTGTTTGCGGGGCCCTTGAATAAGCCCGTGAGGGGTGGACGTAAGCAGCCACAGTCTTCACCCCCAGGGCCTGTGACCTCCTCGGTGACTCGCTGCAGCCTGGGCTCCGTCTTCCTCCTCTCTCAGCCCTTTCCTGCCTCGGGGCCTTTGCCCTGGCCGCGCCCCCACCCCGCATCCCTCATTCTCTCCGTGCTTGCATGGCGAGTTCCTTCTCTTCGGTCTCAGCTCCGTGAGGCCACCCCGTCACCTCTGTCACATTGTCCTATTTCTTCTGGTTTCTTTTTTCTAGAGTAGCTGGTGCTACTTGTTCATTTAGGTGGCATTTCAGTCCCCCGAGGACAGATTCATCTCTCTTGTTTACTAGGTCCCGGCACCTGGATGCTCAGTAAATAAGGACGTGAGTCATTGCTGAATTAATTGAGGAATGTGGGTGTTCGAGGAGAAGCTGGCTGTCCACCCAGTGAGCCCTCTGGCCAAGCAGGTGGCCTGGCCACAGGCATCCTTGTGCGGGGGGAGCCAGCCTTCGGGCGGGATCCCTCGAGCACCAGCTGTGCCTGCCCCTCAGGCGGCTCCTGGGAACGGAGGCCGAGTTCGGGGCAGTTCTCGTCCCCAGCCCTGGGCCCCCCCGACCCCTGCAGCTGTTGTCTGCCTGTCTAGTGACTTAGCCGAGCCGCTCCCTGGGTGGCGGTTTCCTTGGGAGACCTGGCTCCTTCTGTTGTGGCAGCGTTGAGGAGGACTGGGTGCTGTGGGCCAGTTCTCAGGTAACAGGATATAAGTTAGTCACAGGTCTCCCCAACCCCCTTCACGCACCAAACACAGCACTTGCACGTTTATTCTGTCTACGTGATCAAACACACGAACTTGGTGCAAAAGTCAGCCAGGCGCGTCCCAGCTCCCCACAGTCCCCCAGTGCAGGGGGAGAGGCGCTGTTTACCGTTTGGCACGTGTTCCTCTCGAGTCGGGCCTGCTGATAATGACGACATCAGCAAAAGCTGACTGTCTTTCGTGCACCCGCAGATTTCCTCCTCGTTCTGAGTCTGAGATCCCCATTCTACGGGCGAGGAACCCGAGGCACAGAGAGGGGGCTAACTCGCCCAGGCTCGCGGTGTCCGTGTAAGGCACGGCTGTGTTGCTTAGCAGACGGACCCACAGACGTGTGCCAGCGCGGAGCGGTTTCCTCCGACAGCCCTGCGTGGATGGCTCGGCGGGCTGGGGCTTGCCTCCCCAAACCGTCCAGGGGCCTGGTCGCTTCTGTCCTGTTGCTGCGCCATCCCCCACGGGTGGCCCTGGACCGTGTGGTCGGTTCTGGCTCACTGGCAGGTGTCCACCTTACAGCCTTAGGAAGGGACCGGAGAGGGGAGCAGGCTGGATGCATCCTCACCGCCGCTCGCTTTCCATTGGCTGGGCTTGGCCATGGCCACACCTAGCTGCAAGGGAAGCTGAGCAGTGTCACCCCTACTGGATGGCCGTGCATCCTGTTAAAACTCAGGGACAGCGGCTGGCTCCGGCTGCTTGGCCTGTCGTAACAAAATACCACAGACAGAACAACAAGAATTCACTGCTCACAGTTTTGGAGGCTGGGGTGTCCAAGGTCAAGGCATCGGCAGGGTCACGGTGTGGTGAAGACCGTCTTCGTGGTTCATGGCCAGCACCCTCGCCCTGTGTCCTCACCTGGTGGAAGGGGCAAGGGAGCTCTCCGGAGTCCCTTTTACGAGGGCACGAGAGTCGTTGACAGGGGCACCACCCTCGTGACGTCATCACCTCCCGAAGGCCCCGCCTCCTGCTACCGTCCCTTTGGGGGTTAGGGTTTCAACATGTGAGTTTGGGAGGGGACACGTTCAGGCCGTAGCAGTTCACATTCTCAGAGGAAGAGGGGACAGTGGATTCTGGGGACAGCGAGCAGCTTCTGCCCTGGCGGGCCGGCCCCCCGGTCCCCCGCTCCGACCTCCCCGCCGACATGCTGCCGCGCTGCCCGCCAGGTGGACATCATGCAGATGTGCGTGGTGGAGCTGAGGGAGAGACCGGGCCGGCCCCTGTTCCACCTGGAGCACTACATCGAGGGCAAGTACATCAAGTACAACTCCAACTCAGGCTTCGTCCGCGATGACAACCTGCGCCTGACGCCGCAGGTGAGGCCCCTCGAGGGGAGTCCCGTGAGGCGGGGTCCCACCCCGGCCCCGGAGGGCCCTAAGCCCAGGGAGTGTCCCGAAGGCGCTCCCGTGACGTGCACCGTCGCCCACGCCGGCTGTCGGCTGACCCCGGGCCCTGCGCCTGAGGCCGGCCTCGGCTGTCGGCTGACCCCGGGCCCTGCGCCTGAGGCCGGCCTCCTGCTCCGTTTTTCCCGCTAAACAAAGCGCTCCTTGCGGGGAGGCCCCGCGTGGGCGGAGCCGTGCGGTCCGTGTCTCACGGAGAGCGGCTGACCAGTGCCCGCAGCCCGGTCTCTTCCTGTCCCCCCACAGGCCTTCAGCCACTTCACGTTCGAGCGTTCCGGCCATCAGCTGATCGTGGTGGACATCCAGGGCGTGGGCGACCTCTACACCGACCCGCAGATCCACACGGAGACAGGCACCGACTTCGGAGATGGCAACCTGGGTAGGTGCGGAGAGCCGGCCCGTTTCCACGGGGGCCGCACCCCCTCCTCGGACCCAGGGAGAGCGGGCCCAGAAGGCGGAGGGCGCGTCCAGAGCTTGTGGACGTGGGGCCTGGGACGCCCGACACCAGGGTGCGTTGACGCCCGGCCCCGCCGCAGAGCAGAGCCAGGCTCGCGACTCCCCCGCTGTGTGCGCAGGTGTCCGGGGGATGGCGCTGTTCTTCCACTCCCACGCCTGCAACCGGATCTGCAGGAGCATGGGCCTCACGCCCTTCGACCTGTCGCCGCCAGAGCAGGACGCGGTGAACCAGAACACCAAGCTGCTGGTGGGTGTCTGCCCCGAGCCCCTCGGGCCCGTCCGCTGCCGGGGCCGGTCAGCCATGCTCCCCGGTGTGACGGCCACCCAGCCCTCACTGCTTCAGAGCATCAGGCCGGACGGTCCCCTCCACGCCCCTCCTCCCTCCCCAGGCGATGCACAGAGCCCCTGAGTGTCCCACTAGCAGAGCAGCTGGGGTCTGCGTGACTCGGGCCCTTTTGACCACAGGGAGTGGATGAGGCGCGTGGCAGGGGAGGGGAGGTGTGTGGTACGTGTGTTTGCGCGTCTGTCTGGTGTATCGCCGGCTGGCTGGACGAGGCTGGGACCTGGCTCTCGGGCACCTCGCTGTGTCCAGGCTGTGCCCGCTCCACCTCCATCCCACCATGTGGACCAGGTGTCGGAGAGTGACCAGCTTGGGATCCCAGACAGTGACACGTTCCCAGCTCCGGGCACTGTGTGTGTGGTCGGCACTCTGGGGGCGCTGGCCGGCAGGCCCTTCGAGCTCCTGTTCCAGATGCCCCTCTTGGGGGCCTTCGGGTTAAGCCCCCACGGGCGACTAAGCGGGCCGGGCGAGAGCGGGGGCCTCCGGGTTGGGGGAACAGCAGGCAGCAGGGAGAGCCCTCCGTTCCCCAGAGGGTGCCTGTGGGACGTGAGTGTCTCTGCTAATCCTCCAGCAATCAGCCAAGACCACCTTGAGGGGGACAGAGGAAAAGTGTGGGAGCCCCCGAGTGCGAACCCTCTCGGGGAGCCGGCCGCCCCTGCTGCTCCGCCTGTCTGAGAACTCGGGGGACGAGAACATGAGTGACGTGACCTTCGACTCTCTCCCCTCTTCCCCGTCTTCGGCCACACCACACAGCCAGAAGCTGGAGCCCCTCCGTGAGTGATGGGGGGCTTGGTCCTGGTCCTTGTGACTGGAGGGGGACGGGCGCCAGGGAGAGCGGAGCCACTGGCTTTCACTTCGTGTTAGAAAACCGGACCCGCGATCCAAAAAGATTCCCGGCCCCGGGGGTTTTACGGGGGAGCTTTGTTAATAAACCTTCGAGACGGAGGCTGTCCGCGTGCTCTAGCGACAACAGGAGAGACCACGCGATGTCTTCAGATGTTTTCAGCTTTATGAAACAGGCACAGCCTGACAGCAGCTCAGGAAACTGCACCCGGACCTCACTCATCGGAATAGGTGGCAGACATCCTAGGGAAGGCGTTACCTTCGGTGGGGGGGGGGTCTGTCGTAGAGAGAGTTTACGCCGGCGTCCGAGGGATGCCTAACGCTAGGAGCAGGATTCATGTCCCGTGAGGAGGTCAGAAGAGAACAAGAGCCGTTATTTCTGAAGTCGAAGTGGCAGAGTTTGCCGACGATGTGATGTGGGGTCTGCGGGAACCGGGGGGGCAAGGCTGACGCCAAGGTTTTGGCCCGAGGAGCAGGACGGGGTGGCCTTCCGTTCAGCCGGGGACCCGGGTTTCCGTGTCCGGCGTGAGGGAAGCCTGGGGGGCTTGTCCACGGGAAGGCCTTGGCCACAGCCTGGGGCAGGAGTCGACAAGCTTGCTCCTCAGAGGCCCGAGGAAGTATTTAAGCCTCGCGGGCCGCACGGCGGCGTCTGCGTTTGTGGCCTGAGCACAGCCGTCGGCGACGTTTACGGAGGTGTGGCCGTGTTCCAGTAACCTCCATCCGTGACCTCTGAATTCTCAGTTTCGTGTGATTTTCACGTATTGCAAATACTCTTCTTTGGACGTTTTTCTACCCTTTAAAAGCCATCCTTAAAAACTACTGAAAACAGGACACAGACCACATTTGCCTCGCGGGAGCTGGAGGCAGGAGACAGACTAGGGACCGCCAGGAAGCGGTGGGTTTTTAAGCTATCTGAGCTCCCCCCGCAACACGCACACACACACACACTTGTGGCTCCTCATCGGGCCCCCAAATGTACAAATGGCTTCTCTTCCTCCACATCTGTGCCCCGTGAGGGCCGGCCGGGGGCCAGCACACATGCTCACAAACACTGGACGCAAATTCCTTTGAATTATGACAGCTCTGAGTGGGCACAGGGTAAGCCACTTGCTCGGGGCCCCACAGCCAGCAAGTGGGGGACGCGGAGAAAGTTCTGGAGAAAGAACTGTAGCCCCCAGGTGCTGGCAACATTCTTCCTTTTTTGTGCCTTTCTTTGAAAATTTAAAAGCCTGGTGGGGGGGGGGGCGGGGCTTGTGACCTGCCCCAGCCCTGCGGCCAGCACATCATCTCCACCTCCCCCTGCGCAGATTGGCCCGTGTTTGCCGACCTCGATAACCTGGGACCCCGAGATCATGACCACCTGGACAACCACCGGGTGAGTGGAGGGGCCGGGAGCAGGGCTGGGACGAGCGGACTCACTCCCGGCGGGAACCGGGGTCGGGGTGAGGGTGAGTGCTCGGTGCAGAGGCGGCCACCCAGGTGCGCTCCGGGCACCGTGGAGGGTCGGGCGTGGATGGGGGTACACGGCGAGGGAGAGCCAGGTCCTTCCCAGTCCCCAGCGGTGGCCGGAGAAGGGGGCACCCAAGTCAGCAACGGCGTGACCTCTGGTGACTGCTGGGCTGGCAGGCCACGTCCGAGTGGACGGCTGTGGACTGCTGCCTCAGGAGGCGGCTGCGCTGGGTGTCACACGTGTCCCTGGCAGCACAGGGAGCTGCGATGCGCTCTGGCTGGATAAACAGGACAGGACCCTGCAGCCTCTGGGTGGCTCAGTGGTGAGAGACCAAAGGTGTCCAGCTTGCGTTCAGGCAGACAGTGTGGAATCGAATCGAAAATCGATAGAAATTTTAAAAACGGACTTTGCAGAAATGTCGCACGTGCGCAGACCACAAGTGTGCTTTAGGCGGAGCCCTCGGTGGCTCCAGAGGTGCACGTCCCCTTGGGACTGCTTTTCAGAATCCTTGCACGGAAGGGAGTAAGAGCAGCGGACACGCACGGAATCGTCACCGTGGGCAGACGGTGCGTGAGGGCTTGGGAGGCACTCAGTTAATCCTCACAGGCCGTCAGGCAGATACTATTATTTTCTTTTTATAGTAAATTTTGTTGTAGAATCAGAATACGTTTTAGAAGTTCAGAGTACGTCCCCCATTCTCATGGTTGAAAAGGAAAAGGTGCCAAAGATTAGCACGATGAGAGGTCTCGCTCCCATCTGTCCCTCAGCCACCTGCTCCCCGTCTCCGAGATCAGCCACTGCCCTTTACCCCCGATTGGGACATGAGGACACAGAGGTTAAGCCACTCGCTCCTGGTCACTCGGTGATGGAGCTGGGATCCACCCCCAGGCTACCTGGCCTTTGCTCCCCCACCTCAGAGTAGGTAGCCCCCCACTTGTCAGAGGAGACTGGGGTTCGGGGAGGTTGATTGCCTCCCCCGCCGTCCCAGAGCTGGGTTTGCATGAGTGACCCCAGAGGAGGGGACGAGGGGCCTGAGGTCGAGCAGTGGGAGGGGAGCGTGGAGCGCAGGGGCCTTGGGTGTGGGGGGAGGGAGGCTTTGGGGCTTACGGGGACAAGGCCGGGGCCTTTTCGGGATCCAGAGCTCCCGGGAGTGAAGGGACCCAGCCAGACCGGGGCCGGAGGTTCCACTGTGCTCACGTGGCCCCCGTCTGCCTCGGGGACCCGGGCCCCACCTACACTAGTGACACCAGACTTCTCTTTAGGATGCATTTACTTAAGTGAAACGGCTCATCGAAAGACACCTTACAGATGAGAAGCGTGAACTCATGAGAGCGGTTTTATCTGGAGGGGGAAGGAGTGGCCCGGGGACGGGGTGTGGGACCTCTACGTTTTCACAGGGACATTCTAATTCCTTTTAAAAATTCAAGGCCTGACATAACGATGGCCTAACTTTATGAGGTGACAAAGCTGAGTGACAGAGATACCCGAGTTCATCTTAGTATTTCTGCTCTTATTTGTGTTTGAAGTACTCTTCCATAGAATAGAGAGGAAAATCGTGGAACACTTAGCCACATCACGATGGATGCAGGTGACGTGCGGATACGGCCAGAGCACAGGGCCGGCAGACAAATGACTGAGGTTTTAGAGGTGCTGAATGATGCCAGGTTCACTTTCTGAACGAGCTTTGATCTGGAGCAACAGGGGACGTGCCCAGGAGGCCCGAGCAGTTTGGGCAGAGGGCTTCGTTGCAGTAAATTGTTCCCACGTTTTGGTCCATGGCTCACATCCCTTCAACCGGCCTCTGTTTGCCTGCCCGTGAACTGGGAGAGCCACCCCTAACAACGGCACTACTGTGACCCACACCCCTTGTCCCCCTCACAGCCCTGGTGTCGGTGCCGTAGAGAACCCCAGAGCTCAGAGAGGGTACGCGGCCGCCCAGGGCCACAGCCGGCAGGTCGCAGAGCTCGGATTCGAGCCTAGGACGGCGGGGCCCAGACCCCGAGCTCTTGCCACCACTTTTCAGCACCCTCACCCAGCCAGCAAGGGCAGCAGGCAGAGCATGTTAAGCGAGATGACGGGACAAAGGACAGGAAGCGAATGTCCGGGGTGTCCAGAAATCACCGCCACTAGCTACTCAGAGGCCCGCTGAGACCCTGTGGTCACCTTCCCTCCACAGGACTCTGAGAACGGTGGGGACAGCGGATACCCCAGTGAAAAGCGGGGTGAGCTGGATGACCCAGAGCCCCGAGAACACGTAAGGAACCCCCAGGAAGCGAGACCAGGGTTTTCCGTTGCCTCATTGTCGGGGAGGACGGAGGGAGGGGGGCCGATGAGCGGGCAGTGAGAACATAACAAGTCATTAGTAAATAAGGTCACTTCGGCTAAAGGGGGATGCAGGGCGGAAGGTAGCACGGGGCGATGGGGACCGGTAAGGTCAGTAAGGGGACGAGTGTGGGATGCGACACGGGCTGGGAGAGGTTGGAGCCTCTGTCTGCTGAGCAGAGAGGATCTGGCTGATAGTCTACCTGCGCAGGTGCGGCTGGGAGGGCACGGGCTTCCGGAGGACCTGGAGGGCCCCGGAGGACAGGCTTCTGAGGCCCCTCCCAGCCGTGTCCCGCTGAGGGTGGCTTCCGGCAGAGTCACCCAGTTAGCGTGAGCGCCAGGCGTCTGAGCGCCAAGGCCCCTCTCGTTGGGAGCCGTGTGCGTTGGGAGCTTGGGCCGGAGGAAGGACGTGGCCCAGCTTCCCGGGGGCCTGTGCCTTAGGGTCAGCTCCGTCTGCACGCAGGGGGCGTGGGAGGAGGGCCGTGGCCGCACCAGCACGGCGCCCTGCCCGTGACCAGCGTCCTCTCTGCTGGCAGGCGGGGTCCAGCTTCCCCGGGGAGGGAGGGCTGCCCTTTGGGTCACTCTGTCCTCTGCCTCCATCAGGGCCACTCCAACGGCAGCCGGAGGTACGAGTCGGACGAAGACAGCCTGGGCAGCTGCGGACGGGTAACGCCCGTCGCCAGGAGCCCCCGTCACAGCCGTGTGCCCGCCTTCTCCACGCTGCTCCGTCTCCCTGCCCGCACGCCCCTGCCCTGTCCGGGCGCCTCACACTCCCTGCCCGCGCGCCCCTGCCCTGTCCGGGCACCTCACACAGCCCCTACGGGACGGCTTTGCAAAGGAGCCGATGCCCTTGGCAGATAACTTTCTGAGCCCCCGCCCTGGGCCAGATGCGGGGGGATCTGTGGGGACCACCAGGCAGCCCATCCTGGAGGGGCGATCACACGGCCACCGCCCACGTGTGGCAGTCGTACCCCTGCGTATTAGTTAATTGACTTCCTGCAGCCGTCCAGGGACGCAGGCTGCGTTATCTCGCGTGCGAGGGAGTGGGTCCTAAGCAGCTCTCCCCGGGTCCCCTGGCCAGCACGTCTAACGGGCGTCAGTGATCGTTGTCAGCAGGCATGGGGAGGCCAGCCCTCACGGACGCTGTCCCCTGTCAGGCTGGCTCTGAATCACACTAGAACCCCTCCCCTCCCTGCCTGTGCTGAGGCGAGTCTCCCTCCCACCTGCAAGGTCCTTCCTCCCCCTGTGGTCACCGCTCCTCAAAGCCCGACCCTGCTCAGCTTCTGCGATCAGACGGGATCGGGCGTGTTCAGGGTGGCATGGCCGTAGACAGAATCACAGTTTCTCGCACCCACGAGCTGGCAATTTGAGTGACTAGAAATGGAGCCGTGTGTGTCCGAGGAAACTTGACGGCATAAGGGCTCGCGCCCCGGCTTACCAGCCAGGCCTGTGTGGGGGAGCAGCTGACAGCTGGTGGCCGCACGCCCCACCCCCCAGCCCTGGGACCTCATCATGCCCTGTTCTCATCCTGCAGGTCTGCGTGGAGAAGTGGAATGACCTCAACTCCTCCCGCCTCCACCTGCCGCGGCCCTCGGCCGTGGCCTTGGAGATGCAAAGGCTCAGCGCTCTGGGCCTTGAGAAGAGAGTCGGGAAGTCCGTTCTGGGGAAGGTACCAGAGATGCCCGGTTCGGAGCCCTCTCTGTCCAAGCCTGGCGCCCCAGCCCTCCCCTTCCCTCCCCCCACAGGCTGGCCGGGGGCCCTGGGGTGCGGCCTCGGCCTCCCGGCCTCAGGGCCAACACCTGCTCTGTGCGGCAGGTGCATCTGGCCATGGTGCGCTACCACGAGGCCGGCCGCTTCTGCCAGAAGGGCGAGGCCTGGGACCGCGTGTCCGCCGTGTTCCACCTGCAGCATGCGGCCGACCTGGGCGAGCTGGAGGCCGTCGTGGGCCTGGGACTCATGTGCTCACGGCTGCCGCACCACATCCTGCCTGACGTCTCTCTGCAGGTGAGCGGGCCGAAGCCTGGCCAGGGGCGCCCCCGCCGGCCCCCACCCCCGCCCCGGCGGCCCACGCTGCGGGAGGG